TCTGATGCTCTTGCAAGCAGAGCTAATCCCCAGATTGATCTTTGGGAGGTCTTGGGCTGTACTGAGTGTTGGTGGAGCAGCACGGGGTAGCCTGAGCTGTAGCTCAAGAACTCCAGCCTTACACTACATGCAAGAGGATGATACTTACTGAGCCAGTCTCCTATCAGGTGACAGTCTTTTGCTCACCAAGTCTACGTCTAACCCAAAGGAGAACCAGCTTCTCCTTGACTTGGGCCCATAATAATACCAGTAGGGAGTTAGCACTTCTGGGGCTTACTTTTGGGCAAAGAAAGCTGCCGGAGCCTGTGTGCTGGCTAGACTTGGTGCAGATGAGCTGTGTTCAGCCCTGGCTTCTGCTGAAGAGGAGGGAGTTTCTTGTGGCTTCTCCCGGGGCTGGCAGAACCCGACTCCCGTAATAGCTGCGACCAACCATTTGACCACTTCCCTAGGACAGAAACAGGAACTTTAGTGGGGATGGGCCTGATTTTGCTGTGTTCTGACCTCTGGATCCACTTGGAGCTTGAGGAAAGACCCTGACAATGAAGAGTATGTCCCACTCACTTAGAGTAGCTCTGTAGAGCAGCTCAACAGAAAAGCTCTCTTTATTTGTACACTTGTCCACAGGACTGCAGCCTCCTCAATCCTGTCCTGAGCAATGCAAATCTGACCTCATTCCTGGGAAAAGCCGGCTAGGCTGCAGCTGCAAATGCCTTGCATCGTCTCTGGTGGTTTGCTTTTGTAAATCTCCTGTCCTTTATATTTGGCCCTACACTTCCCTCTGTCTCCCAAGTTTGCTTCTTGTCAAGTCTGAAAGTCTGACCTGGAGTCTCAACAAGTGTTCCCTGAGCCCCTGCCTCAGTTTGTGGTTAGAGAACAGGGAGGAGGAGGAGGAGGAGGTGTCCCTTACTTGACATTGTTGAAGCACATGTCACACGAAAGCACTTTCTTGGCAATTGACTTCTGCAGCAGGTGCAACCTCAGATTCTTCTGCAAGTCATCCTCCAGGGTCTGCACCACGTACTGCAGGAAGAGGAGCCGGCCAGGGGGCTTCTCCTGAGGGCACATGGAGAGCATATGAGCCTGAGGGAGCCACTGGGTGAGGAGTACCAGGGAATTTGGCTGTCTTAGGAATGGACTGATGTACACGACTGAGGAGCAGCTCCAGGATGGGCTGCCTGGCTCAGGCAATGCCCTTATGGGCATTGCAGGACCTGTTCTACCACTGCACTAGTGCTGTGACCCACAGAGTCTTTATCTGGTGCTGTGCCTTCTTCAATGGGACAACCTGCCTGCAGCTGTGCAGTGGGTCAGGGAGCACTGAGGATAGATATGAGATACCCGACTGGCACTTGCTGCCCTCAGCAGCTGCAATAAACCTGCACATTGGACTGGCCTGTTCTCTGCAGCAGAGCACAGCCACATGATGCCCTTGGGCAGTGCTTACCCTCAGGCGCTGTGTGCTGGATGATCCCTGCCCGATGTGACACACACGGTGCCAAGTACCTGGTCCTCCATGATGAATTTCAGCAGCGTCCAGTCCCATCCCACTGTGGCAGCGTTGGCTGGATGGAGCCTGCAAGGACAGCCCTGTCCATTTGTGCTGAACTGCCTGACCATCTGGCTGGAGGCATGGCAGCCCCTGGCCCTTCCCCAGCCTCACGTGCTCAGGGGCCTGACCTGCCTTCTCCTCTCTATCTTTGCTCTCAGCCTTTCTCCTCCCCTGACCCTATTAATTTTTTGAAAGCACCTGGCTGGGGCTGTACTCCATGGAGATGCCCAGAACTCCTGGGCCCGTGGCCTCACAAAACATTGTTTCTTTCTGTGGGAACCCCTGAGGGAAGTGACGGAGCTGCTCCAGGCACTGACAGCCCATGGCACTGCTGCAGCCCAGGGAAGGCACTTCTGCCATGTCACAGCAGTGAAGAATGAGATCTGCACTTCAGGGCAAGGCAAACATGCTCCTCTGTCCCTGAGAGCTCTCTGGTGTCATGGGCTGCCCCTGTCCCACCCTCAGAAAGCCTGGGGAGTGCTGGTGGTGGCAAGAGGATCATCCTGGGTTATATGGGAAATCACTGCTATGAGTGAGCCCCTGTATGCTGGGCAGACCCCTGGGAGCACCTAGTCAGCCCCAGGGCACTGGGACAAGGGGAACACCTACATTTGGATCTTCATCAGCAGCATGTAGGTGTCCTTCAAGACCTCCTCTTCATGGGCATTCAACAGGACCTGTCTGATCAGGTGGGAGATGATATCTTTGGGGGGACAGTGCTGGCAGGAGACGAATTCATTCAGGAGATGCAAGGTGCCCTCCAGGAAGTTCTCCTCCATGGTGGTGCGCACCATGCTCAGCTTCCCTCTGGGGATGAGCTCAGGTTTCTGCTGTGTAGAAGGCAAGGCAACAGGTGAAAGTGAGCTCCCCCAACACAGAGGAACCCAGCTGTGATGTGCAGCCCACCGTGAAGGGAACTGCAATAACCAGAGCCCCCAGCTGCCTGGCAAAGCTTCCCACAAAGGGCAAAGGGAGCAGGGCCTGCCCTTGCTACATCCTCCACCACAAGGGCTGCTCTGAGCAGCCTCTAGCTGGGCTTGGCAGCGGCTGCTCTAAGCCCTGTTTACCTGCTGTGTTTCCCTGTTGGGTGCTATGCCTTGGAAGAAGAGGTGCTGGACTCCACTCCTCCTGAAACTGTGCAGTTTGTCCAGCCAGGCCTTGTTGTCACCATCGCCCCTGGCTGGGGTTGCTTGCTGGGTTGGTTCGTGTGGTACGTCATTTGTTTCCAGCAAAGACCCTCGGGCCTTCCCTGGGGTTGTGGGAAGGGTTGGGGCAGGGCTCAACCTTGGGGGGAGGTCCCTTTCCTGGCAGAGGTGGGGAGGCTCTTCCTCTGGGCCATCAGCTTTCCAGCTGCTATTGCTGTCCAGGCTGGGGGGTGCTGAGTCCTGCTGCATGCTGGGCAGGGAACTCAGGTCACTGTTAAAGCTGGTAGCACTGCAGTCTTGCTCCCAGCTGCAGGAGCTGTGGCAGCTGGAGGCAGGAGAGAGGCAGCTCCTGTTCTCCATGCTTTCTGCTGTGTCCGTGGTGGCACTGGGCTTCACGGGAGTGCTGTGCCAGGATGGTGCAGGGCTTGGTTCTGCCACTGCCTCCATTTCTTCCTTCACGGTGGAGCAGAGCTGGGGATGGAACGTGTGTGCTGCTGGGGCAGCAGGTGCAGTCCTGGGGTCCTGGTCAGCGCTGCAGGTGCAGTGTAGAAGGATGCAGGTGTCCTCAGTCACGCTCAACTGCACCGGGTCTGTGCTTGTGTCCTCACAGGTCAGATCGATGATCTCCTGTGGGGACAGAGAGGCAGTGTCAGTGTCCTTCCTGCCAGGAGCCTCTGCTATGGTGGCACTGTAGCCCCAGTCCAAGAGGGAAAAGAGGCTCATTGGCACTAGCCCAGGGAGAGGAACCAGGGGCAAAGACCCCATCCGAGGGGATAGGGCAGCCTGTGGGGGCTGGTGGCTCTGAGCTCTGGGATCAGCTCACCCTGGCAGCACTACTGAGCCTGAGCCCAACCCTGACTGAGGCTCTTCTTCCCTGCTTTCCCCAGGGTTCCTTCTTGCAAACAGCCATGCCCTCTCCTCCAAATGCCTCTTGCCTTGGGCCAGAGTGGTCCTGGCTGCTTGCTTAGCTCCCTCCCATGATGGGGAAATGCAGGTCCTGCTGAGGTGCTGAGGGAGGGCAAGGCAAGCACAGTGAGCACTCCTGTAACCCTCTTCCCAGACACTGGCAGGAGCAGCACAGGATCCAAACCCTGGTACCCTTTCTGTGGCACAACCTCGCCCACTACGAAGACAGGAGCAGCAGGGAACAGAGCTGCCTCTTCCTCTTTGGCATCAATGTGGAGCTACAGCAGCCCTGAGACTTTGGGGACTCCCACTTAGGACTTGCTGGGTGATGCAGCACTCGGTGTTCCAAGGAGCAACAGGAGCCGGCAGGGGAAGGCAGCTGTGTCTGCACTGGCGGCAGGCAGGACACAGCACTTCACAAGATCTCGGTGTGCCCAGGAGGGGTCAGAGCCTGTTTGCTCTTGGGGAAAAAATTGCCCCTCAGCGTCTCAAAGCAGGGAACACGGTTAGCGGACAATTTAAGTCCATTTTTTCCCCCTGACTCAGACCTGCTGCCTTTCCCAAGGAGGGCTCCTGGACGCTGGAGGAGCTGGGGAGGGCGGGAGGCCGCGGGGCTCCAGCGGGTCACGGTAACCGTCGGCGGCTGCGGAGCTGCCTCAGGAACCGGGACAGCGGAGCGGGGAGCGGGACGGGTCGTTCCCTGAGGGGCTGAGCCTCGAGCCCTGAACCGCCACCGTACCGGGATATCGTCCCCGCACCCTCCGGCGGTAAAGGGAAGAGGGGCAGGACAGGGGAGAGGGGCAGGACAGGGGATGGGGACGGTACAGGCAAGAAGGCGGCCCTGGGGAGAGGGGCAGGACAGGTGAGAGGGGCGGCAGCCGCCCCACCGCATCCCTGAGCCAGATCCCGCCGGGGGCTGAAACCTACAGGGACAGACCCTCCTCGGGGTGCAGCGAGGGCATGTGACGCTCCATGGTAGGGACAGGCGTTTTCTGGGGTGGGGGGAACGTTGCCGAGGAGGCTGGGACCGCTAGGGGAGCGCGCTTGAGGGCCGGGGCTCCGCCGGCCACAGGTGGCCGCGGGGACCCGAGCCCGCCTGGGGAGAGGCTGGGAGGTCCCGGGCGTCCCCAGGAACACCCGGCCGGGGCTGCTCACCCACCCCTCCACTGCCCCCGAGCCTTCTTGTCTGCGCGCGGCTCCCGTCCCCGCCCGCGGTGGACGCGCCGCCATCTTTGTGCGGGGCAGCGGCGGCCCCGGACTCACGGAGGGGGCGGGCAGGGAGCGGCGGGGGCGGCACGGCCGGGCCGGCGGCGGCGAGCGGGCGCCCTCCGAGTCCGAGTCACTGAGGAGCACCACGGTGTCGTCCATCCCGGCGGCGAGCGGCGGCTCCGCCCCGCCCGTGGAAACGCGCCAGGCGCGGGGTGGTGGCGGAAGTGCCGTCGGGCGCGGTACCGGGGCGGGGCGCGGTGCCGGCCCTGCCATGGCGGTGTCCCCGTACGTGCAGGCCATGCAGGAGCTGTTCCGCGCCAACACGCGGAGCCGCGAGTTCCCCGCGCACGGCGCCAAGGTGCACTCGGTGGCCTGGAGCTGCTGCGGCCGCCGCCTCGCCTCCGGCTCCTTCGACAAGACCGCCAGCGTCTTCCTGCTCGAGAAGGACCGGCTGGTGAGATCCGCCGGCAACGGGCGGGCGGTGCCGGGCGGGTCGGTACCAGGAGCCTTTGGGCATCCTGGGCCCGGGTGCTTGGGCAGGTGTGTCGAGCCGGGGGGTGGGTCCCGGTGGTCAGTACCGGGTACTCGGTGTGCGCCGGAACAGGAGCATCGCCAGGACGCCCCGCCGGCCAGTGGCAGGGAGCCGGGAATGGAGCTGGAGCGAGAATGGAGCTGGTGCCTGGCGGGAAAGGCGCAGGGCCTCCTCCATCCCGGCCGGCCGTGGGCAGGAGCGTGGCCGGGGTGGCGGTGGCGCTCCGGGCTGGGTTCCCGCCCCATCCCGACGGGGATGCAGTGTGCTGGGATGTGGGGCAGGAGCGGGAGCAGAGCCAGGCGCATCCTCACGCTGACGGCTGTCCTCTCCCCCCAGGTGAAGGAGAACAACTACCGGGGCCACGGAGACAGCGTGGATCAGCTCTGCTGGCACCCCAGCAACCCTGACCTCTTCGTCACAGCGTCCGGGGACAAAACCATCCGCATCTGGGACGTCCGCACCACCAAGTGCATCGCCACTGTCAACACCAAAGGTGAGCCCCTGCCTTCCCAGGGGGCTTCCCAGGTGGGTCCTGGCAGGACCTCAGCTGTGTGGGACCCATCCACAGCGGCACAGAGCTTTGGACTCTTTGCTGGCTACTTTGTCTTTGGGTTGCGCTCATCATATAAGGGCTCATTTACTATGGAGTAGGGACTGGAGAAACTCCTGAAGTACAGTGCTGGCTGTTAAAATGTGTACTTGTTTCTGGAGTCTGTGGGCTGTGAGGCTGGAGACTGGGGAAGAAGCATGTTTATAGAGAGCCATGATGGAAGTAAAAGTTTGTGTGGATTCAGAAAAACAACTGTTGGAGTTCATGTGCTGCCTAACCCAGATACCACCTCTGCCCTTGGAGATATCAAATTTTGAGTTGTTGGGGTTGGAAATGGCATTGTAAGATGGCATAACTGCAACCTGCCTTGTTTTTATCCTCATTTAAAGGTATTTGTTGTTGGCTTCTGCTTTTTCTGGATCTCAAAGATCACTGGATCTAGAGGATCTTTGGGTTGACCTTCTGTGGTGATTGCTGTGGTCTCATCTTGGCTGAAATGGGATGTGATCATACTGTTTTGAAGCTGTACTTCTCATAAGTTTTATTTTCAGTAACTGTATTTGCTGGACAGCTGCCATGCAGGGTTTGTGTGTTACACTTCAGGCCTGGCAGTCTTTCCTATCTGGGAATGATTTGGAGTGGAAATGGGACCTGCTGCCTTTCTGTCCCTTCAGGTGAGAACATCAACATCTGCTGGAGCCCCGATGGACAGACCATTGCCGTGGGGAACAAGGATGATGTGGTCACCTTCATTGACGCCAAGACGCATCGCTCCAAAGCGGAGGAACAGTTCAAGTTTGAGGTGAACGAGATCTCCTGGAACAACGACAACAACATGTTCTTCCTCACCAACGGGAATGGCTGCATCAACATCCTCAGGTAGGTGCCCGTGGCTGCAGGTGGGCCGAGTGGCTGGGCTGGCTGCAGTCAGGCTGCAAGTGCCTTGGCTGCTTTTGGGGAACTGGAGTCCCACACCTTAGTGATCCCCAGCCCTCTGGTGGGAATGGACTTGCCTGGAGCTGAGGTTGCCCCAATTCTGGGCTGGGCTCCCCAAGAGGGGCCCTGATGCTTCACCTCATTCACTGGACACTTGGTGTTTCCTACCCTGGCTGGGTTTGCTCCCAGTCCTGGTGTGCCTTGTGCCTGCCCTGCTTCAGACAATCCCTGTGCTTCTCTCACTGCTCCCTGTCCTCTCCCTTCACCTCCACAGCTACCCAGAGCTGAAGCCCATCCAGTCCATCAACGCCCACCCTTCTAACTGCATCTGCATCAAGTTTGATCCCATGGGAAAGTATTTTGCCACGGGCAGTGCTGATGCCTTAGTCAGTCTTTGGGATGTGGATGAGCTGGTATGCGTGAGGTGCTTCTCCAGGTAGGTAGAGCTGTCCCAAAGCTGTTTGCCCCCTCTCTGGGGACCATGTGCGGTTGGCTCACTGTCTGCTCCCCTTGGTTGCTGCAGGCTTGACTGGCCTGTGCGGACGCTGAGCTTTAGCCACGATGGGAAGATGCTGGCATCGGCATCAGAAGATCACTTCATTGACATTGCCGAGGTGGAGACAGGTAAGGGTTTCTTCTTGGGGAACAGCAAGGAGGGATCAGGTGGAGAAGTGCTGGTGGAGCTGGGAGGGCACTGGGAGAATCTCTGTGCTAAGGAAGAGCTTTGCTGTGCATAGCAGAGCGCCATGAGGGGGAGCCTTTGCCTCGTTAGTCGGTGGCAGACATGCTTGTCATGTCTGAGCCTTGTCACTGGGTGATTAAAAGGCGCTGGAGCAGCAGTTGTGCCGGAGAGAAGAAGCAGGTGCTTGGCACTTGGGCAGCGAGCAGTGGAGGCTTTCCAGGCTGACATGGCCCCTTTTCCATGCAGGAGAGAAGCTCTGGGAGGTGCAGTGTGAGTCCCCTACCTTCACAGTGGCCTGGCACCCGAAGAGGCCACTGCTGGCCTTCGCCTGTGATGATAAAGATGGCAAATACGACAGCAGCCGGGAGGCTGGCACCGTCAAGCTCTTCGGGCTCCCCAACGACTCCTGATGAAGCTGCACCTGGGGAGGCAACACCTGCCTACTCTTGGGAGTGGGAGCTTAGTGTTGGCTCCCCTCCTTGGCAGCCTGGCAGGGCTGCGACCTCGGGCTCGGCTCGGTGCATCCTGGTCTTGGGAGCATTTGTAAATAGGCAGCTGTGTGATGGGGATGATGGGGGTGCTGGCAGGCCCCCCCTCTGCCGCCTCCTCTCTGGGGCATGGGGAGCTTGTTCCAAAGGCAAGTGGCCAAAGAAAATCAGTCGTTGGAGGTGGCTGCTGAGGAACCTTCCATGAGAGGAGCTCCCCTCTGACCAGTCTCCCCAGCAGTGATAAGCTATGTGACTGTCCCCTTGTCCCCAAAAGCCTGGTGGCGAGGGCAGCCCTCGGAGCACAGCCTGCCCCTTTTCTTCCCAGACATACCATGTCCCTTCCCTGTGCTGGGGCAGTGAGGGGATGGTGAAGGGATGCAAGCTGGGAGACGTTTCCCCAGCTGGGGCTGAGTTTTTTTAATACTTGTTTTTTTCTAATTTTGATAAATTCTCTTCCTTAACGAAGGTGTCTGTGGCTCCTTGCAGGGGGGAGAAGTGGGTTGTTGAGCTGCTCTCCCTTCCCCTGCCTCCTTCTCTTGGCCATGGCAAGGCCCTGGCTGAGGGGTCTGTCGAGGGACTGTCCCCCTTGTCCCCAGTGCCTGTCCCCGCTCTCCCTGTCCTGTGCTGTCACCACACCAGAGGGCGCTGTGCCCCCACACTGGCGACAGGTGACAGCGGGGACACTGCTCAGCGGATGTGGGGGGACACCCGCAGGGACCTGCCCGGCAGCACTGTATGTGCAGAGCACACTGCTGGTCCCACGCCACGGCCACCAGCCCCGGGCAGAGCCCTTCCCCGCATCCCTGCAGGGGTGACGGGCACTGCCTCCCCAGGGAGGGCTGTGGGGATTTCTCCCCCTCTGTGCCATCACAGGGCACAGTCTGCCTGCGATGGAGACCTTGCCTGCGAGATCTCTACCGTTTTCTACCTTCATATTTTAGTCTGACAGAAGCTTTTCCGGGTGACTGCTCTGCTGATGGCACCTGGGTAACGGTGGAGCTCTTTGGTGGTAAATGATGGCAAATAATGGCTGAGGCTGGCTGCAGGCTGAGGCCTCCAGGGCTGTGCCAAGACTGGTCACTGCCAGGACTTTTGCCTCGCTGCAGGGACAGGGGGTGCCCCATGCCCATAGCCTCAGGCCCCTCTATTAGGGGACAGAAGACTGTGACCCACCAGAAACAGCCCTTGTAGCCCAGGGTATCCCCTGTCATTCAGTGAAGGAAGTCCCAGAGTCAGGGGGAAGAGGCAGAAGCCCCCATGCCATGTCTGTGGGACATGGGTCCACCAGCACCCGTCCCTTTTGCCTTGTCCCCATCCCCAGAGAGGACACCTGCAGAGTGGGGAGCAGCAGGACTGAGCAGGACTCTGGGAGCCACATGTGGTCACTCCCTGTGGCCTGGCTTGGGTGCTGCCCAGGGTGGGCCCTGTGGCCTTACCATATGTGATGAGCTGCCAGGTGTCAGCCCTGGGGTTGGTGGGGCGAGGGAGCTGACATGGGGACCCAGGGAAGCAATGGATGAGAAGAGGCCGGAGCAATGTACAAATCCCTTTATTTTATTAGTTTGTCAAAGACTAGTTCGAGCAGGATGGTCACAGCATGTCTGTGGGGCCCCGAGCTGCCCACCACCTCCCTGGAGGGCCCTGGTGGGCAGCTGGGGGCCGTGGCTGAGGAAGCACGGGGAGGGGGGAGCACGGTGTGGCAAGGGAGGGGCTGGGATGAGGGTGTGCCCCTGCCTCTCCCCGTTGGGGTACAAGCAGCAGCTCCTGGGACATCCCAGGGCGCTTGCCCAGGGATCCCTTCCCAGGCCCGGGGACCCGTGTGTCCAGCGTCAGGTGGGGGGCAGCCAGGCACTCCCAGCCCTGGACTGGCCCGGCAGCCCTCGGCCCCGCGCTGGCTTTATTGCAGGGGGCAGAGTGGGGGTCCCGGCAGCGCGGCGGGGGGCTCTCGGCTCAGCGCCGCGGGTGGCCCCCGGGGACAGTGGGGGCTCGGGGGTGGGAGTCTGAGCAGCGGACACGAGGACGCATGGAGCGACGGAGCGCACCCTGGCACAGAGACACTAATGCGAGGACAGGGGTCAGCGGGGCCAAGACACAGACGAGCGAGCGGCGGGGACGGAGGGACGGGGCAGGGGGGGGCCCTGCCCCGCACGTGCCTTTGTACACGGTTGGCGGAGCGCGGCGCCCGCTCCTCCCGGTGCTGAAGTATTGCAGTCTAACTGATATGGCTTTAACTATGGGGCCAGAGATGCGGGGAGGGGGTCCCCTCCAACCCCCCGATGTATGGGCACACCGGGCAGCCCCGGGGGACCCCCGTGCCCGACGACCGGGGATGGGGGAGCTGCGGGCAGGGCGCCTGGCTTTGTGCTTTGGGCTTGGCCCAGGGCGGGACGGGGCAGGGGGATGGCAGTGTTGGGAACGAAGGCAGGCGAGCAGAGGCCTGCTGGGGTCCCCTGGGAGGGCAGAAGGGGCAGGGCAGGGGGCACAGGGAGCCACCCCGGGGAGGCCGGTAGGGCCTGGGTGCCCCCAGCCTGCCGCGAGGTTACATCAGTGCATTTGGTCCCGGTTCGCCCTGTCCGGCCAGGGCTGCTCCCCTTTGGCATGGTGGGGGGGCCCTGCCTGGACGGGACGGGGCGGGCTTTTGGTCTGGTCAGGGGACAGGGCAGGAGGGGATGGGAGGAGGTGTGGGGACCCCCTCTCCGGGGCCAAGGGAACTGATGGAGAGGTTGTAGGGGAGAGGGCGCCCATGCCCCAGCACCCTATGGCAGGGTTGACAGTGCTGTTACTTCTTGAACATATCCTGCAGCGGGCCGGGCAGGTACTTGAGGACGGTGTCCAGGATGCTCTCCTCCTCCTCCTCATCCTCATCCCCGCAGCCTGCCGGGATCGCCTTCTTGGGGCGCGTCAGGCTGCCCTCACATGGCTGCTCCAGGGCAGCTTTCTCCTCTGCTTCCTTCTCCTCCTTCTTCTTCAGCCCGTACTGAGAGGACACAGACCCTCAGCAGGGCAGGCACAGGGCACTGCCTGCACTGTGCCCGTGCCCATCACCACTGCCTTGGGCCACCCTCCTCCCGGCCATGCCAGCTCCCTGTCCCAGCCCCACCCTGGGTGCCAGGAGCAGGGGTGGGTGCAGGAGAAGCATGTGCCCACCTTGTCACGGATCTGCTGCCGGACTTTCTCCCGTTCGGCTTCCATGCGGGCGTGCTTGGCTTTCCGCTCCTCTTCCTGCTGGCGCAGAGCCTCCTGCCTCTCCTCCTCCTTCTTCTGCGCATCGGGGTCCTTCTCCTCCTCGCCCCCCAGCATCTTTCCCATGTCCTTGGTGGCCCCTGTGGCATCACAAGAGCATTGGCTGGTTCCCAAGGGTGCTGCAGCTCAGCGCTGGCTGCTGAAGCCCTGCAGAGGCAGGCAGGGCAAGGAGCCCCCCTGACAAGGACAACCTGGGACATCCCCAGGGCCACTTATGCCAAAGTGGGCTGCAGACGGGCTCTGGAGGCTGTGGGGATGGGGAGTGCCACGGGCTGGCTGCGCTGCCCTAGTTCAGCGTCAGCCGGAGGAGACGCCGGCAGCTCCTTCGGCACCCAGGGGACCTGCCAGGGAATCCCACTTAGCAGCAGGAGAGCCAGGATTCCCCAGCCAGCTGCTGACGGTGCTGGGAACAGGAACCCCAGAGGGCTTCAGCAGCAGCTCTCCACTGCCAGTAGCTTTCTGTGTGACTCTGTCCCCCTGCCATGTCCCTCCCACTGTGGTCCCAGGGTGTCAGGGCAGCACCACTCCCGGAGAGGGGACTCTAAGGGGGAACAGCACCCACTCACCGCCCAGGGCTTGCTTCATGACAAAGTCCATGGTGCCGGTGTGTGCGTGTGGCTAGGCCAGTGCCCAGCGCTCATCCACTGCTGTCCGGGCTTGCTGACCTGGGCCACCTGTGTGGGCAGAGAGGGACAGCATTGGGGACACCATGCCCATGGTCCCTACTGCCCAGGCACAAGGAATGGGATGGTCCCTGGGGCTGCACTTTACACCCTCTGCGTCTCCAGCCCCAAGTGCCTTCCAGGATGAACAGAGGGAGTTTCTGGGGTCTGCAGGCAGAGGGTGTGCTGTGCCTGTTTCCCTCAGCCCCCTCCTCACATCCCTGCTGGCCTTGAGGACCTATGGAGGGACCAGGACAGGGATTCCAAAGGGATATTCCACCTCACCACTGCCCTTGGTGTGGCAGCAGGAGCCAGGGGTGCTGCCTGAGGGCTGGTGGAATGGGGACCCACCACACCACCATCCACCATATGCCCCTGCTTTGGGGGAGGGGATGATAGCCCCTGCCTGGGGATGCCAGCGTGGCGCAGCCAGACACGGGATGCTGCGTGTGCGCGCGTGTCTATCGCAATGTGAGTGCTCTGCAGAGGGTTGGTGGCAGGTTGTGGCGATGTTTGGGGGCTGCAGGGGTTGCAAGCAGCAGCCTGTCACTGTCTGTGTGATCCCTGCGGGTGCTGCAGATGGGTGACACCATGCAGGGGCACTGCGTGTGCAGGACGGAGCGGGTGCACGCCGTATCTGCGTGTGTGTGTGAGCTCTGTGCAGGCGTGCAGGTTATGTTTGCTCAAGAGGTGTGTTTGCGGGTGGCTGCAGGATGTGTTTGCATGGGGTGTGTGTGCACACGCGTGATAAGTTTGTGGGGCTGCAAGCTGCGCGTGCCCCCACGATGTGCGGGCTTGCAGCCTGTTTTCAAGCTTCGTGCGTGTGCGAGTGTCAGGGTTTGCGGGCTCTGCGGATGTGTGTGCACGCAGGTTTGCGGGCTGTGTCTGTGCGCTGGGTGTTTTTGCTCTGTGCGTGTGTGTTTGCACACTGGGGGGGTGTTGCAGGCTGTGTTAGTGTGTGTGTGTGGGGCTGTTTGTGCAGGTCCGTGGGTTTGCAGGCTGCACGGGGTCTGTGCACACAAATTTGCAGACTGTGTCGCGTGTGTGTACGTGTGGGGGTGTTGCAGGCTGCTTGCGTGCTCCGTGTGTGCGCGCATGTGGGGGATTACAGGCGGAGTGTGTGTGTGGGGGTTGCCCGTGGGGGTGCCCATGCCCCCCACGTGCCCCGTGTGAGTGGGGGGCTGCAGGCTGTGCTCAGATACTGGGGGTGCAGTTTGCTCTGTG